AACCCGTGGTTGAAGCTGCCCCTGTAGAAGCTGAAGTGGCTGCCGAGGCTGCAGTTGAAGTCTCTGCCCCTGTAGAGAGCGCCGAGGAGCTGGTGGACCCGGCTCCAGTCGTGGCTGAAGCTGCAGGAGAGGAGCTGCTGGCTGAACCAGTTGAACCGTCTGAGGGTACACACCACAACCTCCCCCCTCCCCCACAATCCTTCTCTTTACCTCTGTGGACCCTGCAGTCTACCAGCAGTCATTTCCATCACCATTTGAATATACTGTAGTCGTTTGTGATGACCGTTAAGGATAAACTGTAAAGATACTCGACATCACAAACACACGTTTTCTTTTTGTTCTAGCTTTCACAGTTTGTCCCTGATAGTCCCTTTAGCCCATAACCCTCAAATCTTCCCTTCTTCATGCCATGAAAACCCGGCCCCATGTGGCTCGGCCATCACTCATGTAGCTGTAGTTCCACTCAGGGGCGGATCTGGAGAAATATTCATAGTGTGGCAGAAATATATGCTGATTTAATCATAAACATGTATCAATATTATCATGGAAACACTAGAAAAACACCCCAAAAGACAGCATTGAGCGTTAGGAGCAAAAAGGGGGCGGGACTTATGAAGGGTCAGCTGTGGCACAATATCCAGCGTTTATATTAGAAATAAATTATAATAGTTTTGTTTCCAAAGCTGATGTTTGCAAAAAGCTAACTTACTTACAACAGTAACATATAGCAAATCTAAGAACAGGAAAGGAGGAAGATAAACTTAAATTAACAGATTATTAAATGAAATCTGTTTTTAAATCTAAATGAATGAGTTAAATCTTTGTTTGGCTGTGGCCCCTCGTGATCCGCCCCTGCTTCCACTCATTGTGTTTCTGCTTCAGCCATCTTTACATGGTGCATGTTTACTTTGCTTTGAGATGTTTGGCATGGCTTATTTCTGTTTATTTTATTTTTAACTTTCACACTAATGTCTGCCTGCTAACTGCACTCTTTTGTTTTCTCATTTCTTTTATAATTTCACCAGTTATTCCCACATTTATACTCATTTGATTTTATTATTTTAGTTAACTTTTATTTGGTTTTAAGATCCACAGTTTAACTCCCAGTTCTTTTCTAAGAACATGATAGAAAATAATCCTCCTGGTGTTGTTTTATGGAGCTGTTGTTGATTTTTGTCCTGTTAAACACTAAAGATAATGTTAAAGGTTTACCTGTCATATTTCTACCTCAAACTTCTCTCCTCCTCCTCTTCCTCCTCCCTTTACACTCCTCACACATATATGTAAGTCTCATGGTTAAAGTAATCAATCCCTACGTGTTTGATCCGACGGGTCGGGTGTATTTTGTTAATGGATAATGTGTAAACTTTCCTTCCTACCTTTTTTCTTCCATGGTAACTTGGTGAGATTGCACCCTGGTTGCTGCATGTGGAGTCAGAGATGATGTTAAACTTCTTTTGGACTTCACTGTTAAATGTTTTAAAACTAGCATGAATCCATCACGGCAACCTTTTTTAACTGGTCTGACCTCTTTTTTCCTCACGTTCTGTCCTATCTGACCCCTGTAGCCGGCTCCTCTGTCTGCCACTCCGGTGCTGTGTTGTGCATGAGGGTTATGGTTAAGACCGGATTGGTTTTATTTATTATGTTCTAGCCAAATGGACAGATGATTTCCAAAACGCATGATGCTGGTTGATCCTGGAGTATTTGTCAGTGGAGAGAAATTAATATACATTTCTTTCTCTCTCAGCTCAAATGGACCCGATTCAGAAGTTGTTCCTGGACTCTATACGAGAGTACTCCACAAGAAGCCAGTAAGTCTAAAAATATGTCATTAAACTGTTGTTATAGCGCCTCCAGTGGTCGTTCAGTGAACTGCAGCCAGCATCCTGTTGACTGAATTTGGATGAATTAGTTGATATTATCCACTGAAGACAGCAACCAGCTAAAACCACAATATATTTTTAATGAATAATTATTTAAGCTTTGCAGTAATGTTCACAACAGAGACAATATCCAGTCTGTGTTTCAATGTTTATATCACAAATATCAATAATATAAGTCTCTACTTTTATGACTATTATTAAATTGTAAAGTGTAAATTACACCATTTACTTTATTATTCTTTTATTATTGTATATAGTTTTCAGTTAGTCCTCTCCGACATAGATAATAATAAATAAACCATATGATTTACGTTGGATCCATTAGAATTATTGAAGAACTCTAATAATTTGACTGATTTGTGCTGATTGAACAGTGTCATTGATTTAGGGGATAAAGTGAAGTTCTGATTATTGATCTTCGTCCTCCTGTAGGGCTACTGGCGGTCTGGTGGATGCAGGTTCAGAGTATGAAAAGGCTTTGGCAGAGGAGATCTCAAAGCTCCAGAGACTCTACGGCAGCGGAGACCTCACATCTTTCCCAGAGTTCAAATTCACAGGTGAGTCAATCTAATTGACTATTATTTAATTAGTTTATAGGAAACACGAGTGTGTGTGTGTGTGTGTGTGTGTGTCCTGGATGCACAACACCTGTTGAGAGTTTAATTAAAGTTAATAAAAGTTATATAACACATTCACAAGCCACCAGCATCTGACTGGAACTACGAGCGCTACAACCCACCAGACTCCAGAGACAAAAACACTCATTTTACCTTCAGATCATCGTAACTTCATTCAAAGTGGACAGAAACAGAATAAAACTCATTAAAACCGTCTCTGTTAGTGTTTCCAACACCAAATAACGCAACTCTGGTTTGGTGGAAAAATAATCCCTTAATTCACCAGACGTAAATGATAAAAACAGCAGTTTCGTCGGAGCAGAACCCCGGCTATGGAAAGCCAAAACCACAGAGAGGCTGCGATACAACACAGGGGCAGAAGGGAGAGAGACCCACCATGTGATTCTGTAATATAGAGAATATAATGTTAGGCTGATATGATTCAATTGCTACGTGGACCTGACCAATGTAAATGTTAAAACTCCCTCTTTGTGTCTTTTTTTTAGAGGCCAAAAAGTTTGACCTGAAAGTTTCCCAGAAATGAACATCGGCACTTTTTGGGCAAAATGAAACTTTTCTAACTGTCGGGCCTTCCCCGTCCCGTACATCTGTGCTCCCGTAGTGTTTGCTTCTGCAACCCAACCCCCCATCGCCTGCCGGGCTCCCCGCGTGCGTAAGTATTTTATGGTGTTCAAGCCAATTAGATGTAATCATGTGTGGCATACGTTAAGTGAAGCATTGAGTCTGTGAAAAAAAGGCTTTGTGTTAGAATCGACTGTGGCTGAGCTGAACGTCGAGGGAAAAAAGCATAAAGCAGCTCCTGTAGTCGGAACGCAAGCTCCACCTGGTAGTCGACGCAGCTCCACCTGTAGTCGAACGCAGCTCCACCTGTAGTCGACGGCAGCTCACACCTGTAGTCGGACGCAGCTCCACCTAGTAGTCGGACGCAGCTCAACACCTGTAGTCGATGCAAGCTCCATCTGTAGTGAAGAAGCTCCTGTAGTCGACGCAGCTCCCCGGGCTGCCGAGGCCCCTGGTTGGATGAAAGCAGTAAAACCTCAACACAGGGACGGCCGCCGGGTGCAGCCTCCGCCACAGACGATGTAGTCCCGCCGCCCCTCTCCTCTGAGCCCAGTGATCCAGGCAGCTGACGGATCTTCCTCCTCGTCATCCAGCGACTCGGAACTCAGGACTCAGACTCGGACTCAGGACGATGAAGAAACAGAAAGCGAGAGATGAAAACCAAGATTCACCACCACCAATGGTAGAGGTGTCAGAATCCACTGTTGAAAGAAGAAGTCCAGGAGGGTCGCATCAGGAAGTGAAGGTAGACGTCAATGGAAGCACGACTGAAAGTTCCCCAGAAACTGAAGCTACTCTCGCAT